CACTCAAAGGAACCTAAGAAAACCTCAACCCACAAAAACCCAACAATAAAACTGTCAGTTGGTCTCTCTGCCTCCAAAAACTCCTTCTTTACAGAAAAAAAAAAATGTAGACAAAGAAGTAACAAACCCCCACAAAATACTTCACACTCTGCTCCTAGCATTTGAATGTCTCTAAAAGACCTTTCCATGTGCCAGTCTACATTGATGTCCACATCTGTCAGAGATATGAAATATTGAAATGTTCTCCTCAAAATACCCTGCTCTGCCAGCAAAGAGGCAACAGAAAAACAATTTGTGTGGAAAAAGGAGTGGGAAAGAAAAGAGTTTGGCTCTTTTTCCACAGGAACAAAGGAAAGACTTCAAATCCCATCTTAGGAGTCTTGGATATGAGAAAAACAACAGATTAGGCAATTAGGAAGGTAAAACCTGAGATGGGCATCAGTGATCGGGACACCTGGGAAGAGGATCTTGGAGAGAAAACAAAGTTTAGAGCAGCAGGAGGAGCAGAAATCCTCTGAGCATTGCTAGAAGTCTCAGCCTGGCTGGCAGGATCAACTCAACTGAGCAGAAAATGCCTTTGAGCAACAGGGCAAAAAAAGAGAGCAACAGGAAAAGAAACCAAGTGAGACTAGTGTGCAAAGAGCTGAAATTCAAGAGAAAGCCAAATACAGCACCAAGAAAAGGAGAACTCACACGGAGCCCCACCCCAGCTTCTGTTCACTGGCTTCTCCAAAGAATTGGAAGTGAAAATATAATTTTACTAATGCAAATTAGAATAGTTACATGGGAAAATTATTTCACTTGCGTAACTGAGAACAACAAGAGTGAAGGTGTATGGAAACTGATGGGATGGTGGAAGACAGACAGGAAAAACATCCTCAGATGGGATGGTGGAAGTGGCACCAGCTGGCTGAAAGTCAACAAAAGTAAAGCTTTTTTTATATGTAGGAAGGAGAGGGGGAAAAAGATCCAGACAGCTCTCAGCAGGATAATCCAAGTTAGACACACAGGACTTTCGAACATGACTCAAAAGAAAGAGTGATGGAAAATGGCAGCAAATAGAGATGGGGACAAAACAGAAAATGTGGTTTATTGAGAGTAAATCACAGCAAGGTAACTTAAAAGGTTGTTTTATAGCACAATAGTTTGATTTGGGGTTTTTTTTTTGAAGGGGGAAAGAGATGAAAGTCAGTGGATTTAAACTTTCTGAACCTCGGCACAAATTCTGATTCTGTGCTGAAAGGAATAACTGCCATAACAATGGGCACAAGGATGAATAAAACTGGGAGGAAACTAAAGGAGATGGCCCAGTGAGGCTGTGAATTCCTCATCCCTGGAAGTGCCCAAGGCCAGGTTAGATGGGGTTTGGAGAAACCTGGGATAGTGGAACATATCCCTGCCATGGCAGGGGATGGAGTGAGTTTTTATTAACCACTTGCGTGAACACACCTGAAAATGGCCGATCCAGATCTGCCTACAACTAAAGATGAGGCAAACATCCTTAGAAAGGGACAGAGAGGGTGATTTAAAGGGTGCTGATGGTGCCTTTAGAGTAATCAGCCCTTCACAGCCACCTCTCCTTGCTTTAGCAGCCCCTACATGCCTGGCACCTTTTCCATCAGGAGTTGGATCTTTCCTGGCTCTACCCCAGCATCCCTTGGTCCCATCAAATCAGGACAGCAATAACACTTGACAGCTCCCCCAGAAACTGCAGTTCCTGCAGCAGGGCTACAATTTCCTGACTGGAAAGAGAAGGGAAAAAAAAAAAGGAAAATATATATAAAAAAAAAAGATTGTAACTTAATTCAACTTTCATTCTGAATAAGAAAGCATGAAATTAAAGCAAAACATTTTTGACTCTGCAAAACTCCTCAAGTGTGTAAAATCAATTAGTTGAGACACAGGCAGCAGATGCTGAGCAGTAAGAACTTAAGTGAGGAGCACAGGAAACGCCTCCTTCCACAGCAGTCACTTCCAGAAGGGTGAGAGAGGAGGAAAGCAAAACTGCTGGGAAGAAATCAGCTTATAATTTATGCTTCTTCTTGAGTGCCTTTCAAACACTGCAAAAAGGGATAGCAGAGGAGGAGGAGGCTCTCTGGTGTTCGCGTGAGGTGAATCAGGATATCAGCTCCCAAATGCCTTTCTGAGGTGGGGAAATTTCAGATTGACACTCAACCCTTTTGTGGATGCTTAAAAAAAAAAAAAATCAGATCCCTGCACAAAGTTAGTAAAAAGAGGGGCCATTTTTGCTGCTATGGCCTAGGAAACTCCTGATGTTCTCTCAGTGGTTCTGAGCAATGATCTGTGGCTCTGACAACACAGTTCTGAGACAGCCAGGAGCTCTGGGCAGCTGAATGCCAGAGGCTGAGCCTTAGAAAACATTCAACCCTCTATTGGTGACACTGTCATTGTCCCCCACTAAACACAACCAAGGCCTGATTAACCAATCCTCCTCACTGGAGAGCTGCTGGAAGTTCATCCAACAGAGCAGCAAAGTCTCACAGGTGTGAGTTATCCCTTCTCTTTATTGTTTTAACAAGTTATCCCTTCTCTTTATTGTTTTAATGAGTTATCCCTTCTCTTTATTGTTTTCACAACCTGTCCTGCAGTAAATCTGGCCAAGGGATTGCCTCGGTCACCCCCAAAGGGAGGATGCAGCAGAGGCATCGTGGTGACCACTGCACAGGCAGTACCTGGTGCTCTCTAATCACCGAGTTACAGAAAAATTGGCTGGAAGGGATCTCGGGAGGGCTGGCCCAGCCTTCAGCTTGAAGCTGGACTCACACCAATATTACTCTTGCTCAGCCCCAGATTTCTCTACCCAAATAAAGCCTTCCAGCATGGAGATTGCACAAGCTTTCTGGGCGATTTGTTTTTTTTTACAGCCCTTGTAGTGCAGAAAACTGCATTATTTGCTTTTTAAGCACCTTCTGACTACAGCCTCGTGTAGAACCTTGAGGTGAAAGAGGAGCCACATCTCCCCCTTTTACACAGCAAATGTTCATCTACACAGCCAGGTGTCCCCCTTTCCACCTTCACAAATAAAAACCATGAGACTTGCATTGGCAGCCTGTTGTAGAATAAATTTTAAGACAAAATGAAGTCACAGATCCCCAGTGACTTGGAAGGATTAGGTAGGATTGTACCTTGGTTTCCAGGTGGCTGGCACAATGCACTCCCTGCCTCACCACTGAGAATGGCATTGTAGGAATGATTAAAAGTCTGGGAAACCTAGGATAAAAAATAATAATAAAAAAGCTAGGATAAAAAAAATAGGATAAAGAATAATAAAGAAGCAAATAATAAAAAGTCCATCTAAAGAAAATGTGTAATCAGTCACAACCAGCAAGTGCCTAAATGATAAGATTTCTTCCCAAGGAAATCTATTTAATGTGGGGAGGAGGAAAAAAAGCTTAAATTCCATGACTGAACTCTCTAATGAGACAAATGAGGATTAGAAGCAAAGCTTTGCTTGGGGATGGTTTAACACTGCCTGGCAGGACTGGCCAGAAGAGCCTTTCTGGAGTGTCTCTCCCAAATAATTTGGGTCTGTTTGTACTGCAGGTCCAAGGAGAGGCTGATGGTTGGAGCTATGCAGGTGGTAAAACTAAATTCCACAGAGGCAAACATCTGAGCTCCAGGGGTCCCTCCCAAACTCAGCTGACCTGGTTCTGCATGAAAATGATGTTGAGTTTGCCAAGAATAAAGGGAGAAGGTGTATTTATTGGGTTTTTCTTTTAACTATCAGAAAAAAACCCAACAAAGGTTAGGACAGTCCTTAAGAGCCTATTTTATCCCTGTTTAAAAGCAAGAAATTCCAGAAATGGTTTCTGTAACATTTTTTCCCATCCTTTATCAGTGTCCCCATAGATCCTGACCCATTCCTGGACTTCTCTCTGCTGACCATCAAAAAGACTTGACCTGTATTTTGACACTCCAGATTTCTGTGGCTGCAACTTCAGGCTTAAATTTGTACTTCTAGCCTACCAAATTTGTGGTTCTAACCAGACTGGTTATGGAGATTTTTTTTTCCCCTCCTGCTTTCTATTTGCAGAAGTTTTATCAAATACTTAAAGACAAGTTGTGAGTTGTCCCTCAGTGTTTCATTTTTTAGAATAAACAACCCCAGTTCTTTCATTTTATTCTTCCATGGCATTATTCAGACCTTTTATCATTCTTCTGGCCCTGTCTGGACTCCACTTTCAAGTGTTTTTACCCCAGAACAGATACACATGATCAAGTTAAAAGTCTGCCAGAGATTATTTGCTTTTTCCTTGGCCAAAACAAAAAAGTTTGGTTCCAATTTATTGTTTATCTTACTTGCAGCCTAACAGTCAGCAGCCAAAAGTAAAAGGGGTTGTCTATGAGCTCAGCCCAACTTCTGTAGAAAATGAACTAAAACAGAAAACAAAAAAGAGAAATTCAGATTTTGCAGGTGGAGAAGTGCATAAAGCTGGGAGGACAAAAAGTTCTGTCAGGAACAGAAACCCAGGGTGATTTTTTCAGGTCCCTTATTTAAGTCTTAGTGAGGTAACCACCTTCTAGCAAATTAAAATATTAGTGTACCAGATGAACTTTTTGTTGCAGAGTCACAGCTGACCAGGGAAGATGAACTGCAAGGAATAATATCAAGCCCAAGGAAAAATCCCAGAAGAGGGCATCCCTCTCCATCCCCTCAAGCAACAGCACATATTCCAATAGCTTTGAAAGAAATGGGTATACAGCCTTGTCCTGCAAAAATCAACACCAAATGATAAAAAAAGGGAATTATTAAAAGAAAAAGCCCAACATTTCCTCATTTTAGTTTCTCTCCATTCACACAACCCAGCAGCTCGCATGAACATGAGCTAAGGTCATTGAGGACTACCCAGTTTCTAAAATTCCTGGGAATTCCCTGCTTAACAAGGACTGTATTGTGTTCAAACGCCAGGAAGTTTGGACATTGAAGGAAGGAAGATAATCAGGGAATCACAGAGTCAGTCTTCTGTGGTTTTACTTTTCTCCGAGGGTTTGTACAGCTGACAGGACCAGTCAAATCCCAGACCTTAATGTCACAGAATCATATAGGAAAGAAAAGACCTTTCAGACCATTAAATCCAAACATTATTGAGTCTTTCATTAGTAAGTTTGAGGATGACACTAAGCTGGGAGCTGTGTCCATATGTTGGAAGGTAGGAGGGCACTACAGAGAGACCTGGAACTGTTGGATGGATGGGCAAAGTCCAATAAGATGAAGTTTATTAAGCCCAAGTGCCAAATCCTGCATTTTGGTTACAATAACTTCCAGAAATATTATAGGCTGTCACAGAACACAGAAGAGTTGAGGCAGCCACAATACACAGAATATCACCATACAACTCCAGAAGGCTTTAAGCATTCACCCCTACAGATCACTACCTTTCCCCATCAGAATGCTTCAGGCATCTGCTCATGCAGAGCACCATCAAGCCACTTCAGAAGCTTCAAAGCTCTGCCCTTCTTGCTCTTCAGCCCAATTTTTATACCCCTCATGTTGATGCATTGCACCTGTGTGCCCTCAGTTCCCTGTGTGATTGGCCAGCACACCTGGGCACTCCGTGGCTCATTACCTCCAACGCTGCTCACCTGCTTCTCCCAGCTGTGCCCGCTGGGGATGAGGCTGGGCTGCAGCCCCATCTCAATCCCCACAAACTGTGTCCCTACAACAGGCTGGGTGTGCTGGGTGTGCTGGTGTGGCTGGGCAGTGCCCGGGCACAAAGGGACCTGGGGGTGCTGGTCAACAGTGGCTGGACACGAGCCAGCAACGTGCTCTGATGGCCACAGGCCAGTGGCTCCTGGCCTGGATCAGGAATGGTGTGGCCAGCAGGAGCAGGGAGCTCATTCTGCCCCTGTGCTGGGCACTGGTGAGGGCACAGCTCGAGGGCTGTGCCCAGCTCTGGCCCCTCAGCTTGGGAAGGATGTTGGGACACTCAACACATCCAGAGGAGGCAACGAGGCTGGAGAGGGGCTGGGAACACAAACCCTGTGAGGAACCCCTGAGGGAGCTGGGGGTGCTCAGCCTGGAGAAAAGGAGACTCAGGGCTGACCTCAGCACTCCCCACAGCTCCTGAAAGGTGGCTGTGCTCAGCTGGGGCTGGGCTCTTTCTCCAGGAACTGACAGAACCAGAGCACACAGCCTCGAGCTGCGCCAAGGGAAACTCAGGTTGGATAGCAGGAAAAGGTTTTTCACAGAAAGGTGATAAAGTTCTGGAGTGGCTGCCCGGGGAGGAGGTGGAGTCCCCATCCCTGGGTGTGTTTAACAAAGCCTGGATGTGGCACTGGGTGTCGAGGTGTTGGGGCTGGGTTGGACTTGATGGTCTTGAAGGTCTCTTCCAACCTGGTCGTTCTGTGATTCATGTGATAAACCCAGCACTGTGAAATCCACCACCAAACCATGTCCCATGGCACCTGAAGAGCAGCCAATGTAAGATCTTCACCTGCAATCCCCAGCCAGCAGCAATGTCCTGTCAGGATTTTAATTCAGGATGCAACTGGAGATGTGACACCTGCAAAGCCACGTAATGGATGACTCCAAATGAATCCAGCCAAGTTTACCCATTCAAGGATAAATCTCGGGTCTTCAAAATGGTTTGCACTGGGACATGGGTGAGGGGTAGAGTTGGCAGGGTTAAGGGTTGAGCTTGATGATTTTTGAGGTCTTTTCCAATTTAAATATTTCTATGATTCTGTGGATGCAGAGGTGAAATTGCACAAACAGATTAAAAACACTTAAAACTCCTTCTGCAACAGCTTGAGATGCCATCAAAATTTCTAATCACAAAATGCCATAGAAGAAATAACCACAAAAACCATCCAAAAGGATTAAGGTGCTTCATTGAAGAATAAAAATAATAACAATTAAGAAATCCAGCTTTTCTTCCCTCCAGAGTCTGATTTTGAGCAGAGTTTTCTCAGCCACATCACACATTCCTGGATATCCCAGATTTCCCACAGAAGGCATCCACCACAAGATCACTAAAGTATGGACACCTAACAAACATAGCTGAAGAATTTTCTGCAAACATTAACTGACAAACCCCAGCCAAGTTCTTAAGCTGCTATCCACGCCCCATGAAGAGGAATATGTTCTATAAACAGAGATATCTCCACAAAGAGTGATACCAAACAGGAGATCCCCCTTTGCCTGGGTTCTACTGACTGGAAGCTGAGTTTAATATGCAATACAAATTTTTCTTTGATTTTATTAATTGTATCAAGTGTAAATCTGTTAGTGAAACAGCACTTAAATTGTTCATAACAATATTAAAACCACCCCCCTGTGAAATGAATGAGGTTCCCCTCTCATGTTCTCTCTGTGGACTGTGGGAAATTTCCCTGTGCTGTTTAGAGTGTTTATTAAGGTTGGGTTTTGAGTAAACAATTGTTTAGGGAATTGACCACTGCTCTGTTGATCCTCTGCACCTTTTCAGGAAACACCATCCCAACAATGCCTTTGGGGTGATATTATCCTACTGCCACTGCCAAATTGCCATCCCTGTCTTCCAGAAAGCAACACCAGAATTCTGTAAGAACCTATTAAAATATCCCTACTGACCCCCAAATGATGCTTCTGTAATCAAACCCATCTTCCTCTTCTGATCTCTGCATCCTGACAAAAAACTTCCTCCTCCTGATGAGCAGGCACCAGTTTGAGGGTGAGGGAATTCCTTCACCTCCTCTTGGTTGTCCTGTTTATGAAATCATGGAATCATGGAATCATGGAATGATGGAATGGTTTGGGTTGGAAGGGACCCTAAAGCTCCTCCCATACCAGCCCCTGCCATGGGCAGGGATGTTTTCCACCAGACCAGCTTATTTTTTTTGCACACAGGTCAAAGCTCTCCTGGCAGGAAGGGCCAGGCCACCAAAGACACAATGGTGATCCAAGCCAGGCAGAGTTTCCCAATGGAAATTATTAACTTGGAGTAAAAACTTCATCGCAGGTCAAACATGAATTAAAAAAGGGGGAATCGGAAGTGAAAAGAAATAAGTGAACCAACAACCCAGTGTTTACTAAACTAGGGTAAACAGAGATGAAGAAATACAAACAAAGCATCATGACATTTAGAAACATTATATGAGAACCTGAAGATATCAGGAAAACTCTGCACCTGGTAAAGATAAGAGATTAATGAGAAGTTAATATTTTCAGTTGTTTTGTTGGTTTTGGGTTTCTTTTTTTTCTTTTTTTTTCTTTTTTTTTTTTTTTTTTTTTTTTTTTTTTTTTTTTTTTTTTTTTTTTTTTTTTTTTTTTTTTTTTATTTTTTTAACAAAAACATTACAACCAAAAAAAAATTTAAAGACTGTACACTCCAGCAGAGGAAAGTTCAACATGTAATAATTTTGATCTGTATTTGGATAGCAGCAGGGCAACACACATGGCTCTGCTGATGACGGAGAAGCTTTTTCCAGCTCATTAGTAACAAAGGCAGATGTTAAACAGCATCCACGAGAGATAAACATTTAAAATTAGCAGGTCTGGACAACTTGCACCTAAGAGCATTTGTAAAAGCTGGCTGAGATCTGTTTGAACCGAGCCAAATGCAAAACCTGGACTCGAGAAAGAACAGACTCAGTGCAGACCTCCAGTATGGCAGCCTGGATTTTGGGAAAGAAGTGATGTGGCAGAGAATTTGGGGATTAAAAGAGGTAAATAATTCCACATTAACTCCCAGTGTGTGCTGCTGGGGAAAAGCAAACATGAGTGTTTGCTGGATAAACTGAGCAGAGAGGAAGGACAAGAAGAAAATTCTCTTTTTTCACACGGCAGTGGAAGATCTGTCCCGTGACACCACGTCAAGAATTTTAAAAGGCCAATAAAAACCAGAGGAGGGTGTGGAAAGGAAGCACAAAAGGAAGTAGAGGAGCTCTGCATCCTTCTGGATGCCCTGAGGTTATCTCAGTAGCCACTGGGAGCACGTTCAGGCAATTTAACCAGGTGTTGAATGTGCTCAGATGCCCTTTACTATGAGAAAATTCAATCTAGCAGAGTAAAGCGCAATGGGATGTGAACTGAAAACCCCTGAATAACTAAAACCCTCTCCAGATTATCTCCAATAATAGCAAGGGCCAGGGGAAATGTGTTGGGCTGCCCATCTCAGCCCTTTAAATAGAAGAGTTCAGCAGAGCACCAGTTATATTTTATCAGGAACAGGTTGTTGGACTCGATTTACTGGAGGTAACTGGTGAAAATTATCTGTTTTTAATAAATTGCCAAATAAAATAATCTGTCCTTCCCATCAGGGATTACTCTACTCTTAATATAGCTCCAACTGCACAGACTTCCTGGGTTTTGATGTCAGATTTTGGCCCAGGCACTGAGATGTTACATTTTCCTTGGACTTTCCCAAGTAGCTGCTGGCTTGCACTCATGAAAGCCCACTTGCTCTTGTTTGGAAAAAAAAACAAAACACATTTAAATAATGAAGCTTCAATAATGTTCTCAACTGCAAGAGGAGGAAATGCTGCCCAGATGTCCTTGAAAACTCCACTTCAGGGGCATTTCTCTTTGATTAACACCTTTGAGTTGGAAAAAGCCAAGTCAAGGTCTAACTATCCATGTCATGGAGCAAGAAGAGGCAAAGAAAAATCATATTGCTCCTGATGGAGCCACCATCAGGTGCTGCCAGTTCCCAAAGTTTCATCAGGAAACTTGTAGTGTCTTCTTTTTTTCCCATGGTCAGTACATCCTGGTCTAGTGGAAGGTGCCCCTGCTGAGAGCAGCAGCTTGGAATGAGATGAACTCTAAAATCCCTTCCCACCAAAGTCATTCCATGATTCTGTGATCCCAGCCAAGAGAGGAGCAGCAGCAGGAGCCTTCAGGTCACCTTGGTGTTACAGAGAAGAAAGATGCTAAACCTCTGTAATCCAGCTGATAAATAAATGAGAAATTCAACATTTTTCTTTTTTTCAATTTTTTTTTCCTGACTAATTTAATAATTTTTGCTGCTGGTTTTGCTGTTTTTTGGGGTTGCCAAAAGTGACCAGGAGCTATTGGTATTTCACCAGTGCAGACAGTGAGATGGAGCTGGTCCCTGTGCATGCAGGAACAGACAGAGAAATTGCACTCCAAGGCAGAATTCCTTTGCATGAAATTTGCTGCCCAAGGCCCAGGTGAAATTCTCGAGACCTGGGAGAGCCCATGGTCCAAGAAAGAAAAAGTGTCTGAGGGACCTGTCTGCTCTGCTTCCTGAACTGGCACAAGGCCCTGCCTGGGGGTAGATAAATCCAACCTCCAAGCTCCAGTGACCACAAAAGCAGAGTTTGGCATCTTCATCCACAATCCACTCCCACCCTGGGGATGTTTTCACAGGACAGAAGGAGGATCTGATCCTATTCTTGCTAAAAAATGAAAGATGCTTGGAGTCCCCGTGTCCTCTGTATAACATCTCACTCTGTTCCATGTGTGAGAGAAAGAAATTAATCTAGAATGACAGACATGCTCTGCAATTCCAGGGAAGAGAAACCATTCCTACTCTTTTTTTTTCCTGCTGTTTTCTGTTCTTCAGAGCAAGAACATCCATGTCATCACTTCTGAGCTTGCTGGACCCCCCAAGCCCGGGCTGGGGACACGGTGAACTTTGGCTGCACCTGCCCCTCAGGAGCTATTTGGATGCTACAGAAGTGAGTGGATTGTGCAATCCCTGTGCCTGCAGATGTGCTGTGGGATCCCACTTTAACCCTCTTGCTATCCGAGGTGCCCCATCCTATAAAAGAGAACTGCACTGCTCGTGGTTTATCAGACTCCTCTGGGTCTTAACCAGGGAGCAGGGACCTAAAAAGCATCTTCAGGGCTGGGATTTCACAACCCAATTGTTTTACTCTTCTGGCAGAGTTCAACCTTTTCCTTGAGGATCCTCAGAGCTGAAAATGCCTCTCAGTGGCACAAGCTCCCACTGCCATGGCAGAGGTTGGTCCAGCAAGGGAAGATCTTCCAGATGAGAAATTCAGGCTATTGCCAACAGGAAAACCATGTTTAAGGTCAGGAGTCCTGCAGAAACTCTTCCCAGCTCCACAGCCCACCAGCCAGCCCAGTGAAAAATGAAGATTTTCTGTTCTACAGCCTGTGCTTTGCTCACTGCTGTTCACCATCATCTGGTTCCTACCATTAACTTCTCTAAACTGGGTTTCCTGCCCTCCAGGGGTTGCTTCCAACCCAGAACATCCCATTCCCAGCCCTGCACACATTATTGAGGGCCACTTTTTGTAGATGAAAATTTATGGCACTTTTCAATCACAGCCAAACCAGCATCAGGATCCAGCTGTGCCCCGGGCATCTCTCACAGGTTTATCAGGCTGTTAAACATTCCTGGGAGAAACTGACTTCTCCAAGTGTGGAAATGCAGCTTTGCCCCTTAATTTCACTGCTAAACTCCCAGCTTTGGGCTTCAGGGAATCACACAGAAGGCTCAGCAGCAGCAGAACAGGGTGAGGAAAGAGAAGAAGCACCAAAGTTTAAAATCAAGGGTCTGGAATCATTAGGAACTTTTTTATAAGGTGTGTGTGCTAATGTCAAGGCTGTTAGTGCTGTAATTATAGCTGTGCTTACTGTCACTGCTAATGGATGTGCCTTCCATGCTCACAGGGCTGCAGGCAGGGAAGGGATATTCTCCTTGCACAGCTTTCCCAAGCTGGGCATGGAGCCATCCATCCACAGCTCCCAGCACACCCAGAACTGAGCCTTGCAAAGAGCTGGAGGAAAATCAAACTCAGTAACCCTACCTCATGATTTACAGTGACACTCCAGACCATAGCTGTGCTTATACAGCCTGGAAATATTCTTATGGGTGAATAAACAAAATAAGTGATTATTTTTTTTTTTTTTAATTCTTCAAGAGGTTTCAGCATTCTGGGTTGAATTTATAGCCATCACCTTGCTGTGTTTCTGCTCTTCTCTGTGTATCAGCCTTCAGGGGAGATTGTGTCATTCATTTCCCTGGTCACACAAGTTGATGTCACACAGTTGTTTCTGGAGGTATTTGACAGCAGCATCTCATACCACAGCTTAACCTGGACTAGGTAAGACTGAGCAATATAAAGAGCAAAATAACATTTTTATTTTCTCCTAGGTGAACACACATTTTCTACCAAGCGTGGCCAGAAATCCCCTGGATTCAGCTGAGCACCAGCTCCAGGCTTTGCTCCACAAAATGAAATACAGGATAGGAAATAGAGAGAAGTGCTTTCCTCAGCATCAAAGTACAGCAAAATGTGCAGATCTTCTCTGAAAAGCCTTCATTTCAAAGCAAAAAAATCAAGGTTGGCTCCCCAGAGTGCAGCATCCCCCTGGGATGGCACAATGAACCCCTTAAATGTGGAGTAAGAGCAGGGATGTCTTAAAGATGGGAGAGAAAAAAAAAAAAATCACATTTATTCCGAGAAGCAGGGAAATTATCCCTGACCTGGGATTCGAGCCACTGTGGATTAAAACTCTTTGGAACAAGAGGAGAATCACACTTTTTTCCTCCGTATACACAAAGCAATTTGCCTGTTCAATGGCATAAGAATTAAATCCAGCTGGAATGGCTTTTTAATTAAAATCATACTTTGCTTATCAGAGTGAGAGCACTTAGCTGATTACTAAGGGAAGTGGCAAACTCTGGCATCCCTTCCCCATTCCCTGTGCTAAGCCCTGTGTAACCCTTTGCAAACTGCCCCACCTGAGCTCTCCTCACCCCACTTATGGACCTGAAAAAGTCATGTAGGACACACAGAGTCTCTGTAGAAGTTGAGACAAAAGCTGCTTCCCTGAATCTGCTGGAGTTCAGTTTGCTGAACCCAGGGAATTTCCTAAGCTAAGAATCTCCATGCATCTAATTTCATCTCCTTGGCTGTGTTTCTATATTCATGGACAACTGAAATGTTTCTCTGGAAGGGCCCTGAGGCCAAAGGTTGAGCCCATTCCTGGCAGGTCCCCCCCACTCCAATACTTAAGGAGCCTTTTCTCCCCAAGCATCATCACCCACACAAAATTCCCAGCTCAGTGTGGCAAGCACATTTTTCTCTCTCAGGATTTTTCATAGAGGTGCGCAGAGAGAGATGGAAGAGAAAACAATTTCTATTTCTACTCCTTCTTTTTCCCATGTGGAATGTGTTTGGAGAATTGTTTCCCTGGGGTGATTGCTTGGTTGGATTCTGGTGAGGATTGTTTGAGCCTGATGGCCAATCCAATCCAATCCAACCCAATCCAATCCAATCCAATCCAATCCAATCCAATCCAACCCAATCCAATCCAATCCAATCCAATCCAATCCAATCCAATCCAATCCAATCCAATCCAATCCAACCCAATCCAATCCAATCCAATCCAATCCAATCCAACCCAATCCAATCCAATCCAATCCAATCCAACCCGATCCAATCCGATCCGACCCGACCCGACTTGATCCGATCCGATCCAATCCAATCCAATCCAACCCAACCCAACCCAATCCAA